TTTTTTTTTTTTTTTTTTTTTTTTTTTTTTTTTTTTTTTTTTTTTTGAGACGAAGTCTTGCTCTGTCACCTAGGCTGGAGTTCAGTGGCGTCATCTCAGCTCACTGCAAACTTTGTCTCCCAGGTTCAAGCAATTCTCTGCCTCCACTTCCTGAGCAGCTGGGAATATAGGCACTCACCACCACTCCTGGCCAATTTTTGTATTTTTAGTAGAGATGGGGTTTCACTGTCTTGGTCAGGCTGGTCTTGAACATCTAACCTCATGATCCACCCACCTCCGCCTTCCAAAGTGCTGGGATTACAGGCATGAGCCACCACACCTGGCTAAACATACCCTTACTTTACGGCACTGCGAGATGCTCAATACTCAACTTGTATAATTCCTACCCCAGCCCTACAGCCTGCTATTTCTTCAAGGAGCCCCAGTTCCCTATAGTGGGGAATATTTCTTCTGTTGTGCCTACTTTTTCTTCTTCTGGCTTTCGAATTATGCATGTATTATATTTTTTTTGAAATTAACCCAAACTTCTTAATTATTTTTTATTCCTTTTTTCTCTTTGCATTTCAATTTGGGAAGTTTCTACTAACCTAGCTTCAAGCTCACTGATTCTTTTCTTGGCCATATCAAGTCCAGTGGTATATACAACACTATTGGAGTGTTCTTGATTTTCTAGCCCTTCTATTCTTTCTTAGCGTTTCCATCTTTCTGCTTATATCATTCATGGTTTTTCATACATATTCTTAAATTTTCTATTAGGAATTTTATTCTATTAATTTTATTCTATTAATTTTATATTATGTATAGTCATTTTATTCACAATTATTTCAGATTCCATGTCTCATAGTTCCAAAATCTATATCATATCTGAGTTGGGTTCTAATCATTGCTTTATCTCTTCAGACTATTTTTTCTTCTCTGTTGTCATGCCTTGTAATTTTTAACTAAAAGCCATATATATGTTTTATTAAGTAAGAGGAACTGACGTAAATGTGCCTCTAGTGTACAGGTTTATGTTAATCTGGCAAGGAGTTGGACAATGTTTAAATGTTTGTCGTAGTTGTTACAGTTTTGAGATCAGCGGCCTCAAGTTTCTCTAGTGTTTTGTTTTTCTCTCTATTCTTGGTTTTGGGTTCCCCTATATACTCTTCCTTAGAGACAGTTCACGTCTTTCAGCTCTTTTAGCTGTAATCCACTGTTATTATACTAGAGCTTTGTTGGATGGTGGTAAAGTATGAGAGAAGGGGGAGTGTTCAAAATATTTTAATTAAATCTTCGTCTTTTAGTGAGACAGTGTACTGGGGCTGTGATCTTCACAGTACAGCTTTTTTTTAACCTTTTACCTCTGCCCCTCTGTTTGCTTCCCTGGCTGCAGTATTTCTATTTGACCCCTATGGCTTGTATTTACTTCCCCTTAGGTGAGACAGGAAGACTGAAAGAGGCTGGATTGAAAGGAATTCTCTTCCTGAAACTGGGATAAAACTCTGTCAATAATTTCCCCTGGATCACAGGGTTTTGATATGGAGAATGTCCTGGGCATATTTCACAATGGTCATTCTCCTCCTCCCTGTGACAGAGCAAGGAGAGGACCTTTCTCATAAAACCCTGGTGGAGTTCCTGGAGGTAAAGCCCCCAAACATATGGAAGTTCCCCTAAGACAGCAGCCCCCAGGAATTTCCCACTATCATCACTAGTCTAGACTCCGTCTCCAGCCATTCATCAAAGTGTTTCAGTGTTCCCACCATATTAGGAATCCAGCTGCTCCTGCTCCTAGTAAACAGATCTCACCAGTGTGCCTCTGGATGAACCCGTCTTTCCACTTTTGAGGATGGTAGTTTACCCTGCAACTTCAGTTCTCTCTTGGGTCCAAGAAAATTTGTTGATTATTAATTTGTCCAAGTTTTTTCTTATTTTAAGTATAAGAGTGACCAGAGTCTTTACATGTCAGATCCGAAAACAGGTCACATGCCAGCTTTTATTTATAAAACACAGCTCTCCCTATTTCCATCTGTGGTCATCTTTATTTTTTTCTAATTTTTCTGTTGTGAATTTCACTGTTACTCAGATTTTCAGAAAACTATCTAGATTCAGTTCAAATGAAGTTTTGCTAAAAAGATGACCCAGCCCTCCCCTCCTAAATGTCAATGTAATTATCTAAGTTAAACATCAGTATTCCCATGTGAGCTATTCTAGACACGGTTTGGTGAAATTAACTGAAGTTGAGAATCACTGGTGAAGAACTTAATCAAGATTAATACCTTCATTTGAAAAGGTTGATAAGGTGGATGAGCACATTAATGACTTCATCCATTAAATCTTTTGGTGCTGAGAATTGATGTCCTTGTTCTACTTAGGTAAATAATTTTTATTTCATGGCAGAAACAAGATTATTTATAAATTGAACTACAGTAGTAATTTCCTCAATTGACAAAAGGTACAATTTTTGCCTCAAGCCCTTATCTAGAGGCTCATTGTATAGCAGGCTGTTCCTAAATCAGTCAAAGTTTGACAAGGGTGGTGGGGAGATTAATGATCAGACAGCCTATTTCTCATTTAAAAAAATTAATTTACCAATTAAAAACACATGGGTTAGTACAAATAAAATGTCTACTAAAACATTATTTGTAATATGATTTCCTTTTCTGGTAAAATATATATAGAATATTGTGTATGCATATTTTAAAAACTAGATACAACAAAAGCATAGAGCGAGTACATGTGATTTTTTTCTTGTCTCCTTTTTGTTTATGTTTTCTGTTTTACATAACAAGTACTGATTTTGTGAAGCGAAGAAAACCATAGCAGTTAAAACAAAAAGACTAATTTATAAAATCATAGGACTGTAATAAAATTTGTGGTTTATTTGTTAAGCCAGTTTCTAAATTTTCTGTTGAGGAAACTGAAGCACAGAAAAATTAAATATTGTAATTCTTAAATATTGTAATTTCTCATTTTTGCCTGTCATAACAATGGCCATTTACTAAAGGCACTGCTCACATATACACGGCTTTGGCATTTCTATTACAGCATATGTTTTATCTCATCAACTTTAAAGTTTCTTCAGTACAGCCATAATACTGAGGAAGGGGAAGAAGAGGAGAGAGGAGCTGTAATAAAGATAATAGCTTTCATGTACCATTTGTCAAGCTATGTATTTTGTGTCATTTTAATTAATCCTCACATTACCTTCATGACATAGATATGATTCCCATTGTGTAGAGTAAGAAAAGGAAGATCAAACAGATCATAAAATTTTACAAATCTTCCTTGTAGCAACCTACACAACTCAGATGTTTATAAAGATCTATGTGTAACGTGACCTACAGTAGATATGTAGTAAATATTTGTTTAATAATTGAACTAATTTAGAAATCATTTGGTTTGCATGGACTAGATTTTTGGTGTTTATCAATGGACTGACGATCCCTTACTAAATTCACAGCTGAAAACCAACTTTGACCACAAGTATTTGAAGTTTGGATCCTCTAATAAACAAAATTTTTTTCTGTCATGGAAAAGATGATCACCACTTCTGCCATTTGGCTTTCTTGTTCTCTTCTTTATTGTACTTCAAAATGTTGAAAATGGTTTTCTAAAATTTTATTCATTTTGTGTGAAGCATGAGCACTCTTCTTTTTCAATACCACGTTTCCTACCATGTACCAACCTTTGACCCGCTAGCTTAAAATGTAGAGCTAAGTAATGATAGCTTACTTATTTCGTACTTTAATAAAAAATATCATGTTCGAAACAGGTAGGACAGATATTATTACTCTCATTTTAACGATGAGGAGGCTGTTTCTACGTTTAGTGATTTGCTTAGAGTTATATAGCCATGTTAAAACACAGGGCGAGGCCCCCAGGAGAGTTCTGTAACTCCAACTACTTCTTCTATGTTATATGAGTTGACAGTGCAAAGCCATTCTGTCTGTCATATTGTTAATGGCTCATTATAAATTATCCTACAACTTGAGTTTCTGCTTCATTTTTACTGGATTTTTTTCAATCCTTTAATTTTTTAGCTTTTGTTCTAGTCAGAGTTTTTAGTTGCATGAGACAGAAACTAACTCTGGCTGATTTAAATGGGAGAAGAACATGCTGAGAGGCTATTGAGTAGCCACAAAATTGTGTAGCAGCATGTCCAGAAACAGGTCAGAACAAGGGAGAAGGGCATCAGCTAAGGTAGCCACCAAAACCATGCTATAGAACACAGGGCACTTCCTGGGCAACAGATTCCTTTGCTGGTAAGTCTGGCTTTGCTGCCCTGAAATTTAGATTTAAATATTGTTATAGCAACTATCAATGCCCATTTCTAGGATGGGTTTCGATTGTCCCTGCTTCTTTGTGTCACTATCTCTGTTTCAAAGTCATGACTTCAAAGATACTGAACTATGTCAGTATCTTCTTGACTTCAAAGTCATGACTTTGAAGGAATGAATATGTCCAATTGGCAGAATGTTGATCATATGGTCATACCCTCACTTCAGAAAATGCTGAGAAACAAAGCATTTAAACCACTATCATTGGAGGAAAGCTCTGTCTCCCATCAAAATTCATTAAGCCTCCACTTCACCTACCATAACATAAATGTTTAAATCATTGAGAGCTTCCCACCAGAACCAAGAAAAATGACCAAATTCCAGCAATGTTTCCAATTTAGTTTATATGTTCTTTCTCTGATCTAACTTTCTTTGGGACAAGCAATATATTTCATTTACAACTAAGACTCAGCTGTCCCTCAACCAATAATTACCTTTATTTTTCAGCATTCTGAAGGTTCAAAACTCAATGTGTTTTATTCACCTCCTAAGAAATTATGTTTTCAAAGCTAGCCTCAATATTTTTTCAAACAAGTGAACTTCCTCAAGGCCTGAAAGAATGAATTGATATTTTACGAAATATTTTTGAAATATAAAGAATATATTCAACATCTTTCCATGTCTTGGGGTTTTAAGAGATGCCTTATTCTACTTTAACAATTTCAAATATTTCTTTTACACAAAATGTTTCTTAGTCTGAATAACCCTTTTCTCTACAGTATTTTTGAGCAGTGGCTCCGAAGGCATCACCCTCTTCTAGAAGTTTATCCAGAAGCTAATGCACCCATTGGACATAACCGGGAATCTTACATGGTTCCTTTTATACCACTCTACAAAAATGGCGATTTCTTTGTTTCATCCAAAGATCTGGGCTATGACTATAGCTACCTACAAGATTCAGGTAAAGTTTACTTTCTTCCAGAGGAATTGCTGAATCTAGTGTTACCAATTTCTTTTGAAATAGTATTAAAACCCTATGCATCTACAATGTTGTTCCTGAATGCTTTAAATTGGGAAAGTGCATTTCAATCCTTAATTTATTACCAGTTTATTAACACAGGAATCAAATTCTGAGGATCTTTAAAGTTGTATTCATTTTGCTTAACATAGGGTGTTTTGTACATAGCAACCATGGGAAGAACAGCAGAATCAGAAGGAAAATAAAAAGGTTTTGAGACCCCAACTCTATCAACTGATTGTAGTGGGATCTTGGGAAATTTTCTCTGTATCCCTTAATCTCAGTTTATTCACCTGAAATATTGGGATCAGAACACCTTGAATAATTATTGTGAGAATGATATATTAATGAGCCTAGTACAGTGTGGCACAGGGTAAACATACAGCAGTTTTGGACTCGTCTTTGGGAGTTTCTTGCTAGGTTTACCAAGAAAATTTGCAGAAATCTTGATTTTAGGCATAGTTAATAATAATAATAATAGCTATTATAATGGTAATTGCTCTATGATGAAGATATCAATATGAAATAATATTCCTGCATAGAAGATATCAGTATAAAACAATCTTCCTGCATAGAACCATGTCAGTATCTTCTTGACAAAATAAGGAACCAATTGTAGTGTTTGTCTCTATGTGAAAGTCCACTATGTACATATTCTTTACATGCATTATTAATCAACCATAGATGAGGTATTATTCTTTCAAGATAGAGGTGAGAACACTTGTTCTGCCTTTTGAGGGACAGTTAATTTAAAAGATAATGGGTTTAACTGAGCTTTTTTGCTTTATCTGAATACTATAGCCAATAAAGTAAATGCTAACACAGCTGACAAATGAGATCAGTTTTTGGAAAATCTTAAGATCACTAAGAACAGAGAATTTTGCAAAGGGTGGAAGTGTGGTAAGAGGAAGCGCTTCCTGTACATCTCAAGTAACATGTCCTCCCTTTCTTCTGTGACAACCACAGTACATAAAGAAAGGAGCTTATAGGTGATATTTTTCAAAGATTTTCCATTTAGGATTTTATGATTTAATCTCTGTTTCCACTTCCAAAACATGCTAGACTTTCATGGGTTCACACTTTTGAATATGCTATTTTTTTCTGCCTGAATTCTGACTCTGTTTCTTCATTTGTCAAATTCTCAGATATAAAAATCATTTTATACTTAAACATAGTCATGTTTAATCACAGCTTTCCCAGAGTTACATAGTTTTTTTTCTATGTATGAATCTTTCCTGGGTTTTATTCTCCTCCAAACCCCCAAAATCAGAGTTTATCTTGCAAGCTTCTCCATTCTAAGCATCACATTGATCTGGTATGGGCTGAAATAAATAATCGATTTGAGTGTAAGTGATATTTATCATGAAGTGTCATTCCTCTTAACTAATACAAGTGAAACTTGGTAGAAAAAATGCTACATCTCTTAACACTCAGGTCTAATTTTTGGATATATATTTTAAAACACTTTTGAAGTATTCTATCATGCCAGGTGTTTTTTATGTGTCTGTATCGAGTTGTTTATTCTTTACACACATTATTAATCAACCGTATATGAGGTATTATTCTTCCAAGATAGAGGTGAGAACACTGGTACCCAGAGAATTTAAGTGGCTTTCCCAAAATCAAAATCCAATATGTGGAGGAGCAAGATTTCAATTCTTTCAAATTGAAAGAGACAAGATTTCAGTTAAATATCTTCACAAATTTTATAATGGAAGAGAAATATCTTAAACAACTGCTTGCCGAAAAAGTCATTTATTTAGAGATATGCCTATCTCCAGGGGCTGATGAAGTGATAGTTGAGATGACATCAATGTGACAAGTAGAACTAACTAGTTGAAAAGGAGGGCATGATAAATTTGGGCCATATTGTTAGAATGATGCAAGTCACTGATACATTTTAAGAAGGTTATAATCAAATTTGAATTTCAAAAGGTTATCTTGGCTTCAGTGTAGAGAAAGCATTTTAGCAGTAGCACAGCACATGCAGAAAGGCGGGGAAATGCTATTATAAAAGTCCGGAGAAGAGGCAAAGGTAGTTTAAATCGCAGTGGTGGTGGAAGGAAGGGAGACAGAAAGCATGAAATAATTTGACATTATTTTAAAGGCAAAATTTACAGAACTTGGCAAATGATTTATATACCAGGAGATTAGGAATGGCTTTATGCTTTGCGGCCTGTGAAACTGATGAATGGTAGTACAATTCACTGATATAATAACAAGAGGAGCAAAGAAATACATGGAGAACATTTACGGTTTTGTTACACAGTGAAATGAAGTTATATGGATGGTAAATGTGTCTCTTGAGAAGCTGGATACACAGGCCTGAAACTCAAAAGTGGAATCTGGCCCTCAGATCTGAATGCAATAGATATCAGCATATAAATTGTTAAGTAAGCTAATTTTTAGAATCCTATGGAAGGGTGATTTTTATTCTGTTTTACAGGTAAGTAAACAGAGAATCAGAAAGATCTAGTGATTAATTTTAAACTACAAAGCTAGTAAGTGTTAAATATTTAATCCAAAATTACATCATTGCATCACTGCACAGAGAAAAGGGTTCCCTTTAACCCCCATATGCTCCACCTCTTTGTCCCTTCCCTAGTAACCAAACGGATACTTTTTACTACAAAGGCAACAAAATTTCCTGGATGAGCCAGGGGAGAGAGGAGGCTCAATGAGTAATCTTAAAGGCTTGAAGGTATTTATTTTTAATGAAATTAAAAGAAACAAAATTTATTTACAATGCCTTTAGAGTCAATTTGAAAATTTCTCTAAAAGTTAATTTTCTCTAAAAGTTAATTTTAGAGAAGTTTGACTTTAAGCAACAGCAGATAGTTGGGAGGCTGAGGCAAGAGGTTCACTTAAGCCCAGGAGTGTGAGGCCAGTTTGGGCAACAAGCGACACTTGACTCTAGAAACAAAGCAAATCAAAACAAAGCAGCTAAAGTAACCGCAATTGCCTATTTTCTATTTTGTGAATTTTTCCATATTGTTGCTTGTGATGTACTTTCAATGAGTTTAAAATTTATCTCTATTAATAGCTAAATTTTAAGCTTACCAACAAATTCTTTAAAATTTCTAAATATAATTTTGTTCAAGAGGATTATGATTCATCATCCAGGTACTCATGTTTATAAATACTTAAGTGGTTTCTGTAAAAAGGCAGCTGATATCTGCCATTTATCAAACATTTTCTCTTATAATTGAATTTAGTGGTTCTTTAAAAAATTGAGTAGCAGGTGATTTTTTTGTATGCGAAACTAATTTACAAGGTGAGACCAAACAGCTTTGGCAATGAAGGGTTGTGGCCTCAATGCTGGTGATAAATGTAATCTTGCTTTCTGCATAGCAGAAAAGCTCTCTGTTGAGAGCTTCCTTCTTCTCATACATTACAAAAGATCTGGTAATTTGATTTCAAAAATGAGAAAGGAAAACAATGTTCACAGGAACTGCACTGTCCCATTCTGCCAGTGGAAATTGATGAGACTTCTATCATTCATGGATTTGTTCAATAGCCCTGCTTGGCTATGTGTATACCTGTGTGCATGCTGCTCCTTTCTGCCGAGGATGGATTACCATCAACATTATATACTCAAAGTCTAACTCATTCTTTTAGTCCATGGGACAGTGTTCTGGGGTGCCTTCCGACTTCACAGACTGATGTAGGTGTTCTCTTCTCCATGATCTCTTTGTATCTTTTACATATTTTCACCAGAACAACATCACTCTCAAAATGACTTGTTTACCTGCCAGGTGCTGAGGGTGAAAAGATAAATGAGGCAGGGAGTGTATCTCAGTGAATATGTGATTTTAAAATAAATGAAAAGGAGAATGAAAGATAAGACATAGTATGTTCTCTTGAGAGTTTGTGACAAGCCTGAAAGTAAGACGTATATAAATAAATATGGTAATAAATGGACATTTGTGTCAAATGTCACAAGGCAGCAAAGAAAGTAGTTTGAGAATCCAGAAGAGAGAATGGAGCTGAGTCAGCAGTTGCAGCAAGTTTGGAAAGAAAAACTCCTATTGGAAGCTAGTTTAGTTGAATATTGATGAAATTATCATTTTGTCATGATAAGAATCAACAGCAGTTGTAAATTGTTTTCTGTATGATAGACATTGTACCAAGGGCGACACATATGTTGTCTAGTTCAATCACTGCAGGTAGACTCTTAACTCTTAGAGTAATGGCCCCTAACTACTTCATGTGTGTTTTGTGAATAAATGGGCATGTTAACGCACTTTGGAAATGATAGAGCATAAAACAAATAAAAATCTACATAATTATTCTGAAAAGAACAGATGACAAGAAGAACAGAATTTCACACAGGAAAAGATGGCAGGAAAATTATAACATGGGGACAAACAAAAAGGTGCACCGTTGAGGCTCAAAAGTGGATAGCTTAGAAAGAAAGTCTGAATTTTAGTTTAAAGCCATTGAGAAATAAAAGTGTTTCGAAGACAGTCCCCTGGTAACAGTAAAAATAGAGACCACTTGGAATGAATTGAAGTGGAGAAATAATAACAGACACTGGAGAACAGGACAGACATAGAAATAATATTTAAAAGCTGTGAAAGCACTTGAGCCAAGCCTTCAACAAACAGGAAAATATTTATCATGTAGCCTCTATGTATCCCGCCTTTTGTTGGACATTTAAAATGTACCATGTATTGAAGCCACTAACAGCAATCTAAGCTAGGTATTGTAGTCCCATTTTCAAAATAATTTTAATATATATTTAAAACAGTAATTTCCAAGGTCTGTGGTTTACTCAGGATCATACAGTTCATGAGACCTCACCAATATTTTGTCTGTATTCTAGCTAGTGAGAAACGAAAAGGTAAATGGTCAAAGACATATTTTCTTTTTCTTTTCAAGGGAACTTCCCACAAAGTATGTTTTATATATATAAATCTTTGTGGGAAGTTCCCTTAAAAAGAAGCATATATATATATATATATATATATATATATATATATATGTATTTAAATATATATAACTGAAATATACTGTGATGGGTGTAGTAATAGAGGAAATGCTAAGCCAGGAACATATTGGATGCTCTCTTTCCCCAGTGTTATGTTCTTACATGGTTTGAAGCAATATCAGTAATCAGAGGGCTCAAGATTTTTTCTTTTTCAGAATTATTTTAAAAATATATGTGGTCAAAATCTGTTGTTGCTTTTTTAAAGTAATGTAAAATTATTGGCCACTACTTACCAGGATTTACAATAAAGGAATCAATACACAATTGGAAAACATTCCGATGACTACAAAGTTATTGTTTTTCCTGGCTTCTGCTAAACCAGCAAACCAAATATTGAAAAGACTGAGTCTACATGTAAGGAATGAGTTAAAGTAAAGAGAAAATGTGCAAGTCAATATATGATAAAAGTTGTTCACCCATTTATGACAGCAGGTTCTAAAGTGCCAACATCTCCAGCCATCTGATTGAGTTCTTACAAGCCAAGTCTTACACATCCCATGAATCATTACCTTTCAGTCAATATAGCATGGATTTCAACTTTTTGTCAAGGAATGGCTTGTTAGAGGAATCTTTAAATGTCCATTAAACTAAGTCTTGTTTAGATAATTAAAACACAGCAGGATCTGTCTAGCTCCCTCATCTGGTTGGGGACATTGTTGGCAGTAATATAATTATTCCTTTTAGGAATTTTGCAAACAAACTGGTCATTTATATGACTAAAGGTATAGATAGGGATTCTTATCTGGCTGCTTTTAAATGATTCAATTTAAACTGTCCAATTAATTATAAAATCATCTGTTTAATTTGAAAGGTATGGAAAATTTTGAATTTAACTTGATGTGATTTATTTCTTAGGTATTTTCGTTTTGGTGAATGTTTAAAAACAACAACACAGAAAACCATTCACAGATGAAATTTATTCACACACACACACACACACACACACACACACACACACACAGAGGGAGAGAGAGAGAGAGAAAGAGAGAGAGAAAACCCAGAATGGTCCTTAGGCTAAACACAAGTTCTGACTGAGTAATGACTATGGAAATTTTCCCCAACATTTAGAAATGCTGCTCTCTAATGCAGAGGAAATAATACAATACGATATCAAATGTTCTTTTATGATAAAGGAAGAAACTACAGAAAGCTTTTATTTGTTCAAAGTAAACAGTGGTACCAACGGAAAAAAACAGCACACACATACAAACCCAATTCTCCCAATACTACTTTTAAAATGAACATATCAAAAGTGATTTTCATTAGAATGCAGTTATTTCTCCCCACTTGTAAATTAAAAGCCAAGACCCAGATTTATATATATGACACAATGCAAGCGATTATTAAGCTTCATCTTCTGCACAAGAATGCCAAGTTAGTCTGTCTTTGTAAAAGGCAATTACAATTTCAAAACACTTCATATTTGCCTCTTTTGCCAGCACCAAGGCGGCCTGCTGTGGATATTTCCATTTTAGGAGAAACCTCCATTCTCCACTGCTGCCTGTAGAACCAATTATTCTTTCAGGATCAAGATCTGCGGTGAAGCCTCTTGCTTTGTCAGCAGCATCTCTTTCCTTCTTGGGTTTGCTGTCATTAGAGTCAGCGTCTGATAAAGATTTTCTTTTTGTAATTTTTTTTAAAGCAACTTTTTGAGAATTAAATATTTCACTTAATGCTGGACAATCTAAATTTTCTATGGGTTCCCAAGTACTGTTAACATCCGACATCCCTTCCACTTCAGGAAATACTCCACCTTGCCTTTCACTACACCTGGATCCAGTGCTTTTTCCACAAGTTTTTTTTTTTTTTTTTTTTTTTTTTTTTTTTAAAGAGTTTCACGGTGATGGCCAGGCTGGTCTTGAACTCCTGACCTCAGGTGATCCCCTCACCTTTTTTTCCACAAGTTCTTCAGGCGCTGCCTCTGACTTTTTACCCTTTCATTCTGTTTTTCTTTCCCCACTTTTTACAATTATTTATTTATTTACATGTCTTGCAATGTAGTTTCATTAAGGCTTTTGAGTTTGTGTGTGGGTGGCGGCGGGGGTTGCTTGTTGTTGTTTGTTTTCGGCAGACCTGAAGGACTATTATTCTTACATATGTCAGGTCCTCTAAGCCCTTCCCCTCCAGGCTAGACTTTCCGTGTCCTGAGGTCTATAAAGGCCAGGAGCCGCCCTCCACCAGGGAGCGCTGTCTTCATGATCCGTGCATCCTCGAGGAGAAACAAAGGCCCAGAGTACCAGCGGTTCAGAATGTCCGTGCTCCAGGGCGCTGCCCGAGGGCCCACACCTATGCCCCTGCAGCCCAGAAACCAAGAGTGCCCCTCACCCGCAGCCTTGGGACAGAGGACAGCGCCGCGGGCCAAAATCTGTTGTTGCAAGATTTAAGACTGTGACCTCTGTGAATACAGATATTGTTCAAATGCCCTGGGGTTCTAGGGAGGCTTTTAAGATTACTGAGCATTTGCCAACATTACTGTTAATGTTCGTCAAATAATTAAAAGACTGGATTAGTGAATGGTTAATGATATAACAGTGTTCCATTGATAACTGGAATTGTTACAAGACGCTTTTTACAGGAGGAGATGGAAAAATCATAGGTAACATTTAATTGAGTACACACTATATACCAGGCACTGAATCACTTACAGATTTATCTATACATATTCAAACCTTCCAACAAGGGGGGCACTATTTTCCTATTTTTCTGATGAAGCAACTGAGGCTTTGGAATATTAGGTATAACTTTCCTAAGCTCTTACAGCTAGTGAGTAGCAGAGCTGGCCTTCAAACCCAGGTGTCAATTTCAAAGGACTGTGAACGGATGAGGTTGATAGTGGTAGCAACAACGGTGGTAACACTAATAAAAACAATGGGATGTCTTTCTATTTCAGACCCAGACTCTTTTCAAGACTACATTAAGTCCTATTTGGAACAAGCCAGTCGGATCTGGTCATGGCTCCTTGGGGCAGCAATGGTAGGGGCCGCCCTCACTGCCCTGCTGGCAGGGCTCGCCAGCTTGCTGTGCCGTCACAAGAGAAAGGAGCTTCCTGAAGAAAAGCAGCCACTCCTCATGGAGAAAGAGGATTGCCACAGCTTGTTGTATCAGAGCCATGTATAAAAAAAAGGCTTAGGCAATAAAGTAGGGCCAAAAAGCCTGACCACACTGACTCAAAGTAATGTCCAGGTTCCCAGAGGATAGCTGCTGGTATCTTTCTGAAAAGACCGTTTGCAAAATTGTGACCTAATACAAGGTGTACCCTTCTTCCAACTCAGGTGGAACACGTCTGTCTTTGTCTTGCTGTTTTGACTCGGCCCTTTTAACATTTTTCCCCTAAGCCCATACTTCTAAGGAAAGGATGCTATTTAGTAATGAGGAACTGTTGCTTGTATCTGAATTAAAGTGCTCTTATTAAAAAATTGAAATAATTTTGATTTTTGCCTTGATTATTTAAAAATACATATTTTTTATTGGCCCTATCTTTATTTTAAGAAAACAGTGACAAATCTACTTTAACTGACTCCTTCAGGCTTGAGAAACACATTTTTATTTTCTTCAGAAAGCATGATGTTTCCCTGTATTTTACATTTCTGCTCCAAAATATATTATGGACTTCAAATAGAAAACAACCTTCACCTCTTTCCTGTCATAGCTCTGATATTTTTAAGGTCACTGAGAACAAGGTCCCAGCCTCTACAACACATCCAGCTAAGTGCCTGTCTCAAGATGTGTCCATTAAATATTTTAATGATGATAATTATATTAACATCTTTTCGAGTTCTAAGAACTATTTTATTTCCCAAGTTTAAATGCAACCAAACATTTGAAGGTTAAAAAATCATCTGAATATTAGCCTTTCTGTGGTTCTAGTAAAATAAACTCGTTTCTATTTTCCTTAGCTATTAAGTTTTAAACTAGGATGTTCAGATATTCCTACTACTTAAACTTTGGGGCCCTATTGATTTCCAAAAAAAGTTCAATTGGTATATTTGTATCATAGCTATGCATAGCATAAAAGACTAGGACCAGTGGGTAGAAGTTATAGTGGGCCCATTTTAGTTCAATAAGAGGAAACTAAAATTTAGAACTTCAGAGAGTTCTAAAATTGAAATGGACATCTTTGGAAAACAGTAAGTGGTTACTACAGGAAGTCTTCACACATTGGATTGAGTGGCTGATTTGACTTGGAATCTATGGAGAAAACTTAAGCAGTGAGTCTGTATTATATTTATATACGTTGGCTCAGGTTTCTTACCAAATCTTTCCCCACTGTAAAGCAAAGCTAACCATGCTCTATAGAAAGTGGCTGTTACTCTTCCACATTATTTCAGGGTTTCTCACCATTCCTTCTTCCAGCTTTCCAGCCAAATTCATGTACTTTGTCCAGGTGTCCCTAGTCTCTGCAGTTTCCTTACACCTAGTTGTGCTTATCTGCTTAGGGTTTTCAAATAGCATTTCAGTTTGGCTACTTTTGTTTCAAGGATCATCTCTGAACACCATACTTTCTCTGTCCCTTGGTGGCATATTAAAGGCAGACCTACTCAATTCAGGCTCCTAGAAACTTCTCTGGGCCTGGCATCTGAACCTCTACATCTCCAGAAAGGTAGTTAAGACAAGGCCCGCAGGTCTTTATGGGGTTCCTTTTAGTCACAATATTCTACAACCACTAAAGGGTCTGAAGCATATGATTCTGACAGTGTAAAAATACATTTAAAAATAAATTGGCTGAAAAATTTGAGCTCTTGGAAACACCCTTATCTTTGTAAGACTGACTGAAAATCAAGAAAACAAATTTTTTAAATGATTATTTTTCATTTAGTCCTATTTTAGATTTCAAAGAGAGGCAAAAATGATCCTAATTTACACATGGGTCAAGTGATTTCGGCTAATTTTTAAATCTACAATAAATAAAAATTTATAATTATTTCTGAAGTTATCTTATTAATGATCAGAAATTACTAACAATTACTAAACTCGGTAATAGAGAAGCAGTCATCTCTGACTCCTATTTGTTGTTAGACATAAGCTAGCATGTCTAATTTCTGATAACTAGTGGAGGAAAATCTGGCAAGAAGTGGGGAGCAACCCACATGGACACAATGGAAGTCTGTGGGAAGAAACAATAAATACCAGGGATTATATCCTCAAGTTAGTACAGAACCAGCAAAAAAGACTTCAAACAGCTCATTCACGATGGTGTCTTAGGATTACAGTCAATCATATATGGGGATTGCACTAGTTAAATAAAGAAAAAGAAGGAATGGGAAAAGAAATTTGCACAATAGGTTGTAGAAGATCCTGAAGAAGGAATAACAGTGATTCGGGGCACTTTAAGTCTCAGAGCACACATGTGTGGGTGGGTCTAGCTTACCTAACAGGGGCCAAGGTGTTGTGGACACTGCAAAAGAACTCTATGTGGGTTACTTATCTAGGACTGATGAGAAGGCAAGATTTTAGTCCAGGGTGGTATTTTTAAATCATTTTACAATGCATTTTGAATAAAAGTGCACCTAAGAAATTGTCATTGTTATTGACAGGAAACCATATAAAGTCATTTTTTCCTTTGTCACAGGCAATTCCCTTCTTCATCACTGCACCTCAATACAGAATATTGTTTTGTTTCTCTGCAGACTTGAAGTGTCTGTTTGTATAGAAGCAGCATCTATGATAAAACCACCGTCACTTTAATTCCATGGTTTTCTCAATATGGCATAGAAAATCAGTCAAGTACATGACTGATAGTTTCTTTAAATTATAATCAACATTATGTTCTATGGCTTTTTTACCGAGGCCTTTATAAATTGCTTCTTTTATGTTTCTGCTTTGATTATTTTCCATTGCTACCTTATAAGCCACATTTTGTTGAAAAAAAGAGAAGCAGCCGCTCTTTTTTTAATCTCTCTATGTTTTGAAAAAAAGAAAATATATTTTTAGTACCCAACCCTTCCAACAAGTCAAATATACAATTCCACATCTGTAGAAATTACATATGCGATTAGTACAAGTCATTTCAGCCAGCTTCTCAAACTGGCTAACAACTGGCATTAATGGTGGATGCTTTTAGCCTTTTCCTTGTTTGCATAGGCTTTCATTTTTGTGGGATTTCCTTGTCATCATAAAAAGGGCCTTGCTGGGGCCACCTATTGTGAGCTTGTTTTGGAGGGCACTCAGTAGAACAAAGTTCCACTCCCCCTCTGATTAGATTCCTTCTGAAAGCTGCTGAAATGCAAATGTGAAAAAGAGTTTTGTTTTTGTTTCTTAATAAACATTCCATTGCTTGTTTTGAAAAGCATTTGCCATTTTGAACAATGTAATGAAAATTAAAATTGGCTATGAAAACCACTTAGACCTCAAGAACTTTCAAATCGTTCAGCTATTTAAAACAATATTGGAAGAATTCAAGTACTTTTTTTAAGAAAGTCTTACCAAAACTCTATATAGTTTATGTTTATCTTATTGTTTTATGATTTCTTTTCTTAATAGCAATGTAAGAAATTATTCTTATAACTTCATGTTCATCTTCCAATTTTTATGTTTCATAATCATGGCCATAAGGCATATTCTTATGATTTCTAGTTTGTTAATTAGAAGTAAATAACAACGATGTTACAATTTACTGGGTAGTTGTGAAAGTAAAGAACTGTGCTAGGCACTTTCATGTATGTTAACCTCTTTAATAATCTACCTGTTACCAATGTGAGAATAAGTACTATTCATATTCTCAAGAGAGGAAATTGGTTGAAATAGGGTAAACACTTTCTCAAGTGTACATGTCTGCTCAGTAGTTTAGGTAATTTTTCCTGAATTTGAATTTAGTTCTTCCTAGGTGATTCTTCTTATAAATTTAATTGTTACATTTTACTCAATTATGTTGAAGTGTAATAACCAATTCCTTGCTACTCAACAGCTTTGATTTAGCTTTTGCTGCTATGGTTTTTGTGTTTAATATGGTAATGCATATCTTGGTGCACAAACCATTTTATTTCTCTTAAATTATTTTCCAGGAGTAGATTCTCTGGGTCAAACACATGAATACTTTCATAACTTTTCTAATGGACTGCCACAGTGCTTTTGAAAAGGGTTGTGTGGACTTAAAAATGGAAAGAAAAGAGTCTAAAAACAAGACATCAGAAAGAATAAAGGCAAAAAGGTAAAGAACTTAGAAGACAGAGACATGCTGCAATTCTCTTTGAGGGGAACTGAAGAGCCTTATTTCCTTAAGTTAGAGACTTAACTTCATGTGAATTTAACATGGTATAGGCTGTGACATTCAGTGCATTAAAGATTTGAGAAAATTTTTAACATATGTGGGATCTCAAGTCAGACTCCATGAATTTGATTCCTGGCTCAATCTCTTATTAGCTGTATAACCTTGTGCGAGTTATCTTACCTCTGTGTGCCTCAGTTTTACTACTGTTAAAATTCATGTAATAATAGTACTTTCTTCAACATGTCCTGGAGAGTAAATGTAAAGCCTTTACAGTAGTGCATAAGTATTCATTATTATTTCACATGTTCTCATAGAGTATGTTAATTCATCATGTTGCCTGTTTTAAGAACAAAGAAAAAATATATACCCACACATTTTGTTTTTCAATAATTTCACAAAATTATGAGTGGTAATGTACCTGTTTAATAAAACGGTATTATGATAAATGTACTTTTAAGACAGAAACATTTGAGGCATAGAAAGATTAATCATGCAAGTAACAGACTTATAGGTCATAAACAAAAGTTGGCTATTAAAGCACCTATGATGTGATACTGGGTTTGAACCTAATGCACACCCTAGGTCAACAGCCCCTAGCAGGATAAACTCCTCTGAGTGAAAGAATGATGGTTCACTTTTAATCATTCACTCATTTATTCAAGGAACAAGTCTTTATAGGACACCCCCTCTCTCTTGGCACTGTGCTAGAGATACAAATGTTAATAAGATTTAGTCTCCATTCACGGGGAAATCACAGTACTCTGAGGGACAAGACTATGAGCAAATCATTGCAAAATTATAAATACCATCATAAAGGAATATTTCATGTCTTATAGAGGTAATGAATACTTCAGAGGTACAATATCATCAGGGGAGCTGTAGAAGATTTCAATGAAAAGCTAATAATTGAATTATATTCCCAGAAGTTCAGCAGGTAGAAGAGATGATCAATAATCTGAGCAAAATGGTAACACGAGCAAATATAAGTGCAAACAAGCTATGGATAACGGGCTAAATCCTGCCTGCCAGTTGTTTCTGTAAATGAAGTTTTATTGGAACACAGCCAAACTCATTCATTTAAATTACATATTGTCTACTGAGGTTTCAATGTTACAATGGTAGAGCTAAGTAGTTGCAATAGTAACCACATGGCCCAAAGCCTACAGTATTTACTATATTGCCCTTGATTGAAAAAGTCTGTTGACCCCTGGCATAAACTAAACCAGAAAAATTTAGATTAGGTGAGGACTGATTAACGTAGGTAAAAAAAATCATGAAAGAAAACTTCACCTTAACAACT